AAAATACGCGAAGCCCTGAGAAACTCTTCGACAGAAAGTGACATCCATGGACTCCTGTCACTTCACGGGGCCCCCCGCTTCCTCACGCGAGTGTTTAACAGACCTTCCAGAGCGTCAGCCTTTTGCTTCCTGAGATGAGCAGTTGGGCTGGAAGAGTCATGTATACACAGATGGGACATTATCGGAGCTCTCTTGGGTGTTAAAAAATGCCATCCTTTGTGATCCTGCCCCATGATTACTAGACTTTATTGCTTAATTGTAAAGGTGGATATTGAATGTTTAAGTTTTACACTTGGTAAGCTATCGTCTCAATAGATGAAAATACCTTTGGTGGAAGAAAGGGACATTTGTAATACTTTCAACACTTCTAGAAACATTGAATTCTAAAGTAGGTACTTGCAGGGGAATAGTAGGCAAATAACTGTTTAATTATTAACTTTCCTTTTAACAATGTTTTTGTGAGGAGCCTTTGCAATTAAATTTGTGTCACATATGCAAATATGACGTGACTGTGATATCCTAAAAAGGTCCCAAAAGCATCTTTATGGGAGCTGCTGCCCAAAAGCCCATCAGCCTCATTCTTTTTCCCAGGGCCCACTGAGTACAGAGGTAGAAGGCTTTTGAGAAGTCAGTCAGGCTGTCCTTTGCCCTTGGGAAATTCTATATCTAAATCTTCCAGGCAGATTCTGTAGAACCTTTAAGGGGATCAGAAAGATTTGCTCCTAGGACAGGTCTATAATGAGAATTTTCCAAGTTGGAGATACTACAAACAGCAAAAATATGAGGCTCTTCGGACTCTAATGAAATCATCACTAGTGAGCGTGAGTTATAAGCTAACTCAAATGTAGGAGCCTTGCCACTGAACAAATGCCTTTGTAATATTTATTCAAGAAGTCGTAAGATCTAATGTGCTCATACAGCACTCCTGAGAGACATTCATAAGTAAGGCTTATCAACAAATACATATGAATCATTTCTTTACAAATAAAAGCTGGCAAAACAGAAGAAAATATTCTTCAAGGCTCTACCTTTGTTTTGTTTTGTTACACATTATCTTAGGATATTTTTCCATTAATTTTTAGAGATAGTGGAAGGGAGGAGAACACACACACACACACACACATCAATGTGAGACACACCGATTGTTTGGCTCCCGCAAGGAATTAAACCTGCAACCCAGATGCATGCCTTTGACTGGGAATCAAACCTGTGAGCCGATGCTCTACCACTGAGCAACAGTAGCCAGGGCAAGGCTCAATTTTATTGGAAAAAATATGTTAGTTAAAAAATGCTGAACTAACTTTCTGATAATTTTTCTTTCATAAGCAGCCTGTCTGCAATAGGCAAAGATTTTCAACATCCTAGCTGAGCAATAATTCTGCAAACATTTTAAAAAATTTTTAAATCACTCTTCATTTCCTTATACATACTGTTAAAGTGTTCCCAGCTCCAAAATAAGGATAATCAAATGAAATCCTTAGCAAAGAATTATTGAGGGAAGGAATACACCACTAAAAATGAAAGCTAAGGAAGACTTTGTTCAACCTGTCTTCACTAATCAACTGTTTCAAGTGAACACTAATTTTTGTCATTCCATGCTTAGTCATCAATTTTAGCCCACAGAGAAAATTATTCAGAAAATAATAGAGAAGGAATGGATGAAAATGACCTAAACAATGAGTTCATTTTTGGCTTTTGAACTTGCCCCAATAATAACCTTATCCTTCTTGAGTGCTGTTTAATTTGCAAAGCGCTTCCATTTGCCCATGTTGGCTTATGAAGTAGACAGAGCATGTGTGGGCTGCATAGACCAGGTGGAGAAATGCAAAGACCAGAGGTGTTTTATGGCTTCCCCTAGGACTAGGGTGGGCACCTACAGCCCATGGACTTGATCTACTTGTGGCCTGTTTTTGTCTGGACCATGAGTTGAGTGACTTTTACATTTTGCCAATAGAGTTTACAAGCGAGTCCCATTCCTTTGTGTATGCATGGCCAATAGCTGCTATTGCAAAACAATGGCTGAGTCAAACAGTTGCCAGAGAGACTGTATAACCCTTAAAGCCAAAAATATTTCCTCTGGTCTTTAACAGAAAAAAGTTTGCTGCCTCCTGCCTTAGACCCACAGGGGAGCCATGAGGAGAGCCCAGATTTTTAGGAACCCATCCAATGTTCTTTCCACTCAATCTTTTGCTTTTCGTTAGGCCATTTCAGCATGTGGTTCATCCCAGACATATGTCCAAGGGTTAAGAGGAACTTTATGAGGCATGAAATAGGTGCTTGAAGCATAAAGAAAGGAGGCATTAAGCAGAGAGCCAGATACGTAAGTGAAGGAGACACAGGACTTGCTTCCTAGTTTCACAGGTCTGTGGAAGGAGAGGAATTCTGCTCCAGAATGGACCAAACCCCGAATCTATGTTTCAATATACCATATAACTGACATACACCCATACCTGATTTACATGGTTTAAATGATGAGATGTAGGGCCTTGTGAACTGATATTTACAGTAGCTATGAGACAGAGTTGATGCTGGAATGGATTAAGACTTTGAGGATTATTGGAATAGGGGAAATATATTTTGCTTGTGGGATGGATACGAATGGGGGCAGACTCTGCTGATTTGATTAGCATCCCTCTGAAATTCTTGCAAACCTCAACCTCAGGAAGTAATTATCTTTGAGGATGTAATCCAGTTACATCCAATGACTGGCATCCTTATAAGAAGAAGAAAATTTGGACATGGACAGAACACAGACACATGCACAGGGAGAACCCTGTGAAGATAGGCGAAGACTGGGAAGGACATCATCAACGTGGCCAGCAAGGACCAGAAGCTAGAAGACAAGCATGGAACAGAATTTCCCTCACAGTTTCCCGTTGAACCAATCAACCTTAATTCTGGACTTCTAGCCTTCAGACCCATTGCCACATAAATTTCTCTTCGAAGCCACCCAGTTTGAAGTCCTTTGTTACAGCAGCTGTGGGAAACTAACAGATTACTGGGTAGGTGGACATGGCCTGGTGAAAAAGAATTAAGATCAAGAAGAAAGTTCCTTCCTTTCCATTTGCAATAGCATGGATAGACCAGAGAGTATTATGCTAATTGAAATAAGGCAGTCAGAGAAAGATAAGTATCACATGATCTCACTTATATGTGGAACCTAATGAACAAAATAAACTGATGAACAAAATAGATCCAGAGACATAGAAGCATGGGACAGACTGATGAATTTCTAAAGTAAGGTGGGGGTGGGCAGAGATGAACCAGGAAACTTACCTACGTAAGACTATAGACAATGGTGTGATGAAGGGCTGGGGGGTGGTGCTGGTGTGGGATGTAGGAGGTCAATGAGAAAAAAATAAAATAAAAACCAAAGGGGACATCTGAAATACTTTCAACAATAAAGATAATTTAGAGAGAGAGAGAGAGAGAGAGAGAGAGAGAGAGAGAGAGAGAGAGAGAGAGAGAGAAAAGAAGAAAGTGGTAGAATGTCAAACCCTATAAAACCTTTTTGATTAAAACATAAACTCAGAGTAGCACCAGAAAACCTTGAGGGAAAACAAAAAGCAAAAACCCAGAGACCTTGATTACTAAGACAGATTGGGTTTTACAAACACGTTGCCAAGGTAAGCAGAACTGATATACACTTAAGCGTTTTCCTCCCAATAGGTCTGTTTACCAATCCACCCCTAAATTCCAAGCTTTCCCTGGTCACCCTACTATGACCGTGAAACCAAATACATTTTAGAACAGAATAAAAAAAGGTTAACTAAACCACAAGAACATTCCTGACATATCTATTGTGATCCTATATTTTCACAGATGGCCTAATTTTTAAAATACCTTGTATAGGGAGATTAGAAAAGAATGGAACAGGTTAAAAATATCTATCGAAAGCATATACTCAAAACCAATGTGCAAAAGAATCATCAGAGTCACTTCCAGAATCTTCCAATGGCTCGGTATACACCTCTCACATTACTTGGCACCAGATTTGGTGCATGCTGTGTTTTTCTATGTAATTCAGTCACTGAGAAATAAAAAGCTTAGACTGATTGCTTTCAAAGTCTTTGTATATTATATATATAAAGCAAAAATGAACACAGGTGCCACCAGTTCATGATAAAGCTGTCCTTGATACTAAAGCTCACTCAATTCTTGATTTATAGCAGCTATATTTCTTTTTAATAGACCCACAAGAGACTCACCTTAGACAGAATCTTTCTTTTTTATCATCACATCATGTAGTAATTTGGTATGATTATAAATAAACTCTATTTCTAATCCAGATTCCTAATGAACTGAGACACAGTATTGTCCAATGAATTCGCATTCCAATATATCATACCATATAAAATTTTATTTGTCTCCTCCTCCCACCATCCTGCCTCATTATTCCCTATGGCCTTACACAGATTTGTGTTTTAAATGACCGTGGTGATATGAAAGCCAATGAGAGCTGATACCATTACTTTATCAGTGCCCGCTGCTGGCTGGGATATAAGCATCACTCACATAAGCTATCACTTAGCTCCCAAGAAGGACTAGCTCCCAAAACAAACAAACAAAACCCCCTGCTTTCTCTGAGTAGTTTTCTGGGCATTAGTGAACACATTTTTTAAGACTGGGAATTCTTTAAAAAGTTGGCCCTTAGAAACCCAAGGTCTCTGTTGTTCCACTGAAAAACTAACTGGGTATCTTAGCTGAAGGAGAAAATTCACATGCCTTTCTGCTCTTAGCGCCTGAAGCAAGCAAACTAAACAACTGCCCATATTTCCGAATCCCTGCACAGGGGTAGCCCCACATATTGCCGTGCTAGAACTTCAGCATACATGAGATCACAGGGCCAGCCACAGCCATCATGCTTCTCTGGAGTTTGAGCTCAAGAGCTTCTTTTGGCCTCTGACCAAAACACCCAGTAAATCCTGTTCAGAAACATCTGCTGACCAGAGAAGGAAAGCACACAATCACAACCAGGGCGACGCCCACAAGCACTGTACCTTATTCTGCTCACACATGTACTGTATCCTCAGGGTGTCCATGGCTTTGATCATGGCTTGCATGGCGGTGAATATGTTTTGGTAAACCAGCTTCGTGAATCCCTTTCTGTCTTCATCGCTGTAACCAGACCCGTGGATAATTCTCATTTGCTTGATAAAGGTGCTTTTGCCACTTTCGCCAGTTCCTAATAGACAAAATAAGTGGAAAACCTAGTCAGCAGTCTTCAAAAGGAATACATGGAGAAAGATGGGATGTCCTGGCCGTGTTGGTCCATATAATGATGAATGGGCTGACGGGGATGAATTTGGAAAAAGTGTGTTGAGTGTTGATGTAGGGCAGTACCACCCTAAATCCTGGGCAGAGCAGTCTTTCTTTCACCTGGGATTTAGAAGGCTTTAAATTAATCAATGAATCCATTCATCAAGCGGTCAGTGTCTCTCTCCCTCCCCCTCCCTCCCCCCTCCCCCCTCCCTCCCCCCTCCCTCCCCCCTCCCTCCCCCCTCCTTCCCCCCCTCCCCCCTCCCTCCCCCCTCCCTCCCCCCTCCTTCCCCCCCTCCCCCCCCTCTCCCCCCCTCTCCCCCCCCTCCCCCCCCCCCCCCTCTCTCTCTCCAACCACACACACACACAAATTTATTAGGAACACATGAGTATCTTGAGTATCTGTGTCACTTGGAATAATCCTAAAAATCAGCTCTTGTGATTAACAATGTTTAGGCCCCAGGGAATTTCTCCCTTACATACATTCCTTCCCCTAAGTCCTCAGAGCTGGTCTAAATGAGATGGTTCCAGGGCATGAAGGGCGGACAGGAGGATCTCTCTGCAATGACAGCTGTGACCAGGACCATGGAGACCAATAAAGTCAAGCTGAGGATCTAGGTTGAGTTTCCTCACTAGTTCTAAACAGAAACTCAACACCTGGACTTTGAGTATAATCATTCTGTTACAAGTTGGGGGGGAAAAGTGACAGGATATGACATTTAGAATGGAAAGTATTGGTGGCTGGAGGATTAGGTGACTTAGCTTTTACATCCCACCTCATTATTAGTTAGAACGTATGGTTTGGGTCAGTAGCACGGGTCCACTCTACTCTGTTTCTTGTCTTTTTATGAGGACTTTCTCCTCCACTCCCCCACAAGCAACATGCTGGTGAGGGCTCCTCCAGGGCCTGAAAAACTGCAGAGAGGTGGGCAATGTGAGCCTGCAACCTGGGAGAAGCTTCTGATTGGTGACCCCTGCTGTCAGCTTACTCAGGGCCTCCCTCATTAAGAGGCCACAAAGAGAATGGGGGAGGGAGAGGGTAGAGAGGACCACAGCCCAGAAGGACTTTTGCTGTTAAAGGTGAGGAAAAGAATATAATTATAATTTTGTTTCTAGATTCTGTTCCAAATATAAATAAGGCTAATGGCTTTTCTCCATTTACTTTTTGCTTCATGGTTTTTGTATTTGCAGCGGAAAAGAACAACAATAGTTTTAAGGACTTGTAAGCTTCATGAAAAGCCTGCTCTGTTTGACATTCTTTTAGCATCATCCTACCGCACTGCCCTCTTTAACAAAACCAGCAAGTTAGTCCTGACTGGTCCAATGTGCTTCTCAACTAAGACTGGGGTACTCTCCTGAATCTCTCCCTGTAAAGCTTTGCCCAGGATCCTCTGGGCCCCCAGCCCCTTAAACTGATTTCCTATTCCAGAGTAGAGGCTCAATAAGCGATTAAGCTGCACACACAGCTTGCTACTCTGTGTGGTTGGCATATACCCATAGAGTGTGACTATTTTAGGTACAGCTCACCTCCACCAGCTCCTGCTCTCTGTGAGGTAGGGGTGTGCACCTTTGACCTGGCAGGTCTGGGGCTAGCCTAGAAGACACTTGGCTCTTGGCATCAGTATTTCCCCAAACTCTGTCATCTGTGTGCCGACCTCGTGCTGTTTATCGTATCCATATACCACCTGTGTGGTTATTTAATATTTTTGGATTTTTTATTTAAATAAGCTTGTTACGAAAGGAAATTTGCAGGTCATAAATGAAAAGCCAGTTATCTGCCATGATTAATCAAATTAAATATATTACCAGTAGGTAATTAAGACTTCAGTGAAATTCCAAGTAAAAATATCTTGTCTAGCACCAGAGATCTAGGTATCATCGTTTGGAAAACAGTACACAGGAATTAGTGTCCTCTTTACATGGAATTTACCCTTCTACATCCCATCCATAAAGGAACTTCCCCCTGAGGCTTCTTGTATCTACCTAGGACCTCACCCAGAAAAAACTGAGGGTTGGAACTCATGTCATTGTAAAAGGGCCAACAAAATGGCTTCACCCCGAAATTCTAAACTCGCTCTGAGATTTGAGAAAGCAATATGACAGCTTAATTTTAAATACACAGAAAGGCTCATGGAAAAAAAAAAAAAAAAAAAAAACTGCCTTTTTTTTTTTTTTTTTTTTTTTTTTTTTTTTTAGGAGTCAGGAGGGAACAGAGGCCAAAGCAAAATAAATCCCTTCCAAGTGTTAGCCCAAGGACATCTACACAGAAAGCCAATTGTTCAAGTTTACCTACAATCCTCAGTAAAGCCTGCTTCCCTGAGGATCAAGGCCAACAGCTTAGAAGGCTTCTGAGATGGGCAGAGCCACCTTCAGTGGCGGGAGATGTGTTCTAAACCATCTGGGAGAAGTCATTGTTTTCTAGCTCAGTGTTAGAACACTGAGCAGAACAAAATGTAAATCAGAATAAAAATAAGAACACAGTTCTGCATATTGGTCACGTGGCCCGGATGATCTGTGAGACCAGTGGGCTTAGAAGAGATCTGGACACACTGAGGTGGCTCCTAAGCCAGGATCCTATTTCTCTTGTTCCCTGGAATCGCTGGAGCCTGAAACAGCACATAGTAGAAACCTAATACATATTCGTGAATGAATATTTGTTGACTAAGTTGACAGGATGATTACTGTTTTGGAAAGCAGTAGGATGAGTGAACCTTCCTGGCTCTGGGGAGGCCCAGCATTGGTTGGACAAATCTGAGTACACAAAGCTACCTCACCCAGAAGCAGGCACCCTGCCACCTGCCCTTTCTGATAACACTTAGGACCCAGTGCCAGCCACCTGGAGAGGCAGGCTCCAGTTCCATATCAGGGTTTCCTGGTAGTGGAGATAGATGAGTTAATTCCTTCTGAAATATTTAAGCTGGAGGGCTGAGAGGGATTTTGCTCAGCTCCCTCTAACTTTCAGCTGATGCTGGGCAGCAGCCACCCCACACAGCGAGAGCGCTTCTGTACTGTGAGTGCTGTAGTCTTGGAACTTGTTATTATAAAGATACTGATTTGCAAGAGAATCTGGCCAACGTTGGAGAAAATTCCAAGTGATTCACTGCTGCTATGGCCAGAATGTTTGTGTTCCCCACACCCCTAAATTCAACCTTATGAATTGAAACTCTAATACCCAAAGTGATGGTACTAAGGGCCTTTGGGTGGTGAGTAGGTCATAAGGGTGGAACCTTCACGAATGGGATTGGTGCCCTTACAGAAGGGAACCCAGAGAGCTCCCTTGCCCCTTCTTCCATCATATGACAATACAAGGAAAAGTCTGCAATGTGGAAGAGAGTACTCATCAGAACCCAACCTTGATGGCACCTGACCTCCAACAATTTTCTGCTGTTTATTTCTCGCATTCTGGAGGTTTGAAGTTGGGAGTCAGGTGCCATCAAGGTTGAGTTCTAATGTATAAGCAGTCTGTGGTGTTTTGTTATTCCAGCTGGATTGGTAAGATACCTACATAAGTGCAATCCAATGGAGGGAGGGATATTCAATAAAAATGCAGATTATGGGCTCCTCCTCAGTTCAAGCCTGACTGGCCTTTGCAGGAGCCAGGAAATATATAATTGTAACCAGCACTCCAGAATTTTTTATTTGTTGATTTTCAAATATATTTTTTATTTTTTTTTTTTAGAGAGAGAGGAAGGGTCAAGGAGGGAGGAAGGAATATAGATGAGAGAAACATCAATCAACTGCCTCCTGCATGCCCCCTACTGGGAATTGAGCCTATAACTCCATGTGCCCTGACTGGGAATTGAACTGGCAACCTCTTGGTGTATAGGACTCTGCTCACCCAACTGAGCCACACAGGCCAGGGGCCTCTAGAGGTTTTGATGCAACCAGTTCATGGACTGGTTAGGAAGCACTTCTCCAGGGCTCTTGTGAGGGGCACCTCTGCTAATATAATCTACCTGAGACTGGAATGCTCAAGGTTTTACATTACATTCAGTTTAGCTGATGGGTTTTTGTACCAAGTTCCAATTTCATTTCTGCATGAGTAAAATATCCCCATGTGAGCTCTGTTTTTCAATTTCCAGAGGAAAAACATTTCTAAATCTCTATAATGATTTACTTATCCAAGCCAGTCCTGCTTCTGCCCAGCCCCCATGTCACATCACAACCATATCACCTTCCCCAGCTTCTGTGCTTGCAAACAGAAGAGGTGCTATTTTTCACCATAAAAGAAGTATGTCCCAGGCAACTCAGAACTGTAAACAAGTGAAGACAGGATTCATGGCTGCTCTCTCAACAAAAGCGGTGACTACAAAGCTTTTGAAACAAGGAGAGAAAGCTGAAAAATTAAGTGATAAGGCTCAACAGACATTATGAGATTAAAAAAAAAAAAGTAACCATAAAATAATGGAGCAAAAGTCAAAATATGCTGTCTTATATTTGATAATATATTTGCTTCATTGATCTGCACAATCATCTTTATTGACTAACCAATAACAACATCAATTCCAAGTATTTCCCTCCACTTTCTGTCATCTTTGGACCTTATGCTGATCAATAAATTATTTTCAAGTTCAAAGTTAATTTCTGATATCAGGCAAAGTCAAAAGGGTTAAGCTGACATATAACTTCTTGTATCAGGCAAAGCCAAAGGTCATGTAAATTTTTTCTCACAAAGAATTTTTTAAATATCTATTTTTTTATTTATTTTGGAGAGGAAGGAAGAGGGAGAGAGTGAAACATCAATAATGGGAGAGAATCATTGATTAGCTGCTTTCTGCCAGTCCCCAACTGGATATTGAATCCACAGCCCAACCTGGGTATGTGCCCTGACCAGGAATTGAACCATGACCTTCTGGTTCATAGGTCAACACTCAACCATTGAGCAACACTGCCTAGCATAAAGAATTTTTGAATAACCGTTTTTCT